GGCCACAATCTTGCCCGACTCCTTCCACCAAGATACACCGCCATCGCCGCGCGCGTGCTCCTGTCCGGCGCCTCATGGAGGCTCGTGTGCTTGGCAGCCTCGACGGATGGCGCTGTGCGTCGCTAGGGCACCTTGCCGAGGCTTTTACGCGCAGAAAGGACAGGTGCTTGTCGATGCCACCAACTCTACGAGCAGGCCCAAGCCAAAACCGTGGGTCGGCAAGAAGAGCCATCGATAGGCGAGCGAGTTTGCACTTGGTGCTTGAGGTTGCACTTTGTGTAAGCCAACGAGCACCGCGGCAGAACCATGCCGCTAGTACAGTGAGCTGACGACCGCGAATAGATAAGCCATTCAAAAGTGCATTGTGAATCAGTTGAGACTCTCGCATGCCAAGCGGAGACCGGTGATCTGGGTTGTCGGGTCGCGGCAGAGCGGGCAGGTTTGCTTGGTGCGCAGCCACTGGCCGACGCAGCGCTGGTGGTAGACGTGGCGGCACGGCAGCTGCACAACGTGGCGGCCGTCGACGAGGTCGGGCGCTTGGATCTCGTCGAGGCAGATCGCGCACGCCTCGTCGAGGATCGCACGCGTCGTGAATTGGATCTCGAGCATCGGGACGTCGTAGATGCCCAAGAAGTCGGCGATCAGCGCGACGTAGCGCGTTGCGGGCAGCGCCAAGGCCGGCGACGCCGAGAGCTTGACCCAGCACGCGTTGCGCAGGTGCAGCAGCTGCAAGAGGAAGTTTTGAAACAGCATTGTGCGCTCGCCCATGACACGCGGCCGCGTTGGCGTGAGGTGCTTAGCCGGAAACGGCGTCGCGAGCAGTGCGTGGAGCAGCGGCGCGAGCGGCGAGGTCGGCGCGTGGGCGTGAATGACGCGGAAGGTCTCGCGCAGCCGCAGAAAGGCCGAGTAGCGCTTGATGCACGACCAGCGCGCCTGCGTGAAAGGGCACGTGATCGTGACCGTGTACTGGGCATAGACGTCGCCGGCCTTGGCAGCGACGTTGGCTCGCACGTCGATGGCTTCGAGCGTCGAGGGCAGACCGTCCGTCATCGTAGTATTGTGCAAGTGAATGTGTGTACGGTCCGACGCAGGGTGGGATGATGGGTGCGGCCGTACAAAGATACTGGACGAGGCACGGGTCGTCAACACGCCGACTGCTGAGCTGCTCGACTGCCGCTGCGTCGAGTCGAGGCGGTTGGCCGAGCCGTTGAAGGAACGCAGAAGGGACAGAGCGTTTCACGACTGGCCTTTTTTAATCGAAACAGGCGTTGACGGTTCCCAACGATGACACGAGCAGCAAGTGCAAATGACCATGTTCGATAGAAGATCGTTGGTGGTTTGCGATAGCTTTGTCGTCGCGAAAGCAATATGTTGGCGCGTCAGCAGCAAAGGGACTCTTGTGATTGGCAGAGCCCGTGGTGCGGTATACGCGGAGGGCTTCCGAGGACCGAATCATGTTGCCGCATTGACGCCTGGCACAAGAATTTCACCTGGGAATCAGATGCATCCAGGCCATTTTGAGGCGAAAGTGAAAACTTTGAAAGGGGCGAGGATGGGATTCGAACTGGCACCACAACTGGTTCGTTGGGTGAGGTGTGGTGGGCTGGAGCTTCAGAGATTTGGACTGGACTGCAAAATGCTAGTATAACTTTTTGAATGATTTGTTGGCAAGTGCTATGGAGACGTGGTCGCGCATACATTTTGTGATGGGTGCTCTTCTACAACACCAAGGGCGAAACGACGTGGTCGTGCATGTGTGAGCAATGCCCGAAACACCAAGCATTCCAGTTTCCCGCGCTGCAGCTTTTATGACCATTCGGGCACACACCCAGATCGCGAAAAAGCCGGGAACGCGGCCCATGGCCCATTGTTTTTTTGCTCTGCAGTGTCTCTGGACCATTTTACGGGCTTGCACGATGCGTCAGAGGGTTTAACACAGTGCACTCGCATCTCTCACGATGGCTCTTCTCTATAGTGACGGCGATGTCTTCGGTACCTTGTTGCTTTGTGCGCGACCAGCTGGAACATTTTCGAGTTGAAGTTGGAAGCGTTTCAAAAAATGCGTCAGAGCGTGCCACGTCATTCTTCACAGAGTTCACGAGGGATTGTTGTCGAGAATAGTATCAGTTTTGCATTGTTTTGGCGCTCTGCCTTGCATTTGTGTCGTGCAGAAAGGCTGAGGCGCTCGAGTACGGTAGCTGCTGCAGTCTCGTACAAAATTCGTTTTGGCTAGATACATCAGACCTGGCTTCAAGTTGCAGGGATTCGGCAGCGTACTACGCACTACTCTCGTACTCGAATCTGGCGAGTTACATGGAACTTAATAATGAATCGCAAAATGACACGGTGTTGTGAGGTGTTGCGGCAAGGCAGCGCGCCTGACTCCAGGTGTGCACCCGCATCCGGACATCCGGATATTGGCAATTTCCACTATGGGCGCATTTTGCATTCGTCACACGCTGCCAAGTACGTCACGACTTGGCTTTCAATAGCTGCTCTCGACTCATCGTTGGGTGGGCCACGTGTCTAGTGGCACCCGATACAGAACGTACCAAGGACGACGCCGCCGACGAAGTCGATCCCACCCCAATTGTCGTTCCAAGCAGCACTTCACGCGTACGTGGCCAAATTACGCGCTAGTATAGTATTAACGATCAGCCTCGTAGTTTCGATGGGAAGACGCGTTTCCTTATGTGCTTCTTGCCGTTGTGAGCATCTATCACCTTGTGTACGCGTACAATCGCGTCGTGGAAGAGTTCTTCACGTAGCGCTTTCTCAAATTTTCTAAATGTGCAAATTTTGTCTGTGTTATCTTTGTGTTTCAAAGCTTGGATCTAATTAAAATCAAGCAGTCCCCTTGTACTGCACTCACTCACGGCAATACGAGGCTCATCAAAGCGTCGTTTTTACTTCTAGTTAGCGAGTCTGCAGAGTGTCGAGCGCGAACAACGAGAGGTGTCGGTCCAGCACGATCGCCATGGTCTTGTCAAATAGTACGCTATATACGTACGATACTGTCTCTCAAGAAAATTAATGGTAGTAGGTCCTCACGGACCAGCGCGTGTTTCCCCCAGTCCCGGCGTAAACGCGCTTGGATCAAGTGAATTCATCATTCATGATATCCGGAAATCCGAATAATCGCCATTGATCGTCATTTTCATTTTCATTTGCGATGATCCTCGCGTCGTGCTTGACGCGACAGAGCGACAAACGCTTGCTCGTACGACGATAACATCTTATTGTACATGTTGATCGAATGGTGACGTAGGCCAGCGCCGTCTGTCACGATGACCAAGCTGCTCCACAAATGCTGCAAACGGTATGCTTTCGCCAGCGTTTCTTCATTACCCTCTTTGATGATGCCTTGCAGGCTCTCGACATGCTCACGCACGCCAAGCTCAATGCATCAGGAAGCATTCTCAATCCATCTTTCCACTTGCAGTACGCGTTGTTCATGCAGTCCCATTCATGCTTATGTGTTCCTGCAGCTACGTGGTCGACGAGGCCGTGGCCTTTACCGTCCTGGTCGATCCGACGTGTGCTGTGACCACCGCACAAAGGTATTTGTTTGAGCTGCGCAGCGAATTTCAAGGGTATTTGACGACGCCACAAGGCTACATGTGCGATATCTCCTGAAATACGTTATGGATTTATCACTGAATTTGAACGGGATGTTTTAGGGCCGCGATGGCGCTGACACCCCTCGCATGCACCGCCTTTGGTAAAGTTATCGCTCGGAATCTTATTTCTGACGATTTAGCTCATGTTGGTAGAGAGTGAGATGGATCACCTGCATACCAAGTACAATATGACGCTCGTGATCCACAACGATATCACGGAGATCATGCATTTGACGTGGGCGGTTCAGAGGCTTGGTGCCATGTATCAAGGCATTGACGGTATTTCAAATCTTTCGTTATCAATTGAGACCAAACTCACTTGAAGAATGCGTCGAGTAGACGAGGTGGAGCGCCAGCCGTTGTTTTTGCCGGACGATTGGGATGCGGATACGTGGCCATTCCACGTCTACTGGATGTACAAGGTATATCTCGATTATGTAGTATCGCACATAACTGTGTTTGCTAGTTGCGTCAGCGTCAAGGGCTCGTAGCGCTTGTCGTACTCCTTGTGATGTCTCTGGTTTGGACGTTTACAATGTGATCGATACAAAGTCGCGCTGCTGGATTGCTTCACGACATGCACTTTGCAATACAGTATTACTAGTTAACGCAGCTTACACAATACGACGCGGGCGTGGTCAGAGCCACTTGCAATCGCAGCTCTTGTGAGCTCACGTTGGTTGGGCATCGAGCCCCAGCTCTGCAACCCAGACTCTCGCTCGGCGCTTCCGTGGCCGGCGGACGGCTCTGTGTATATTTCATTCCGCCTATATTGAGGATACATTGTTGTACGCTCGACAAGGCAACAACTCGACAACAACAACGGCGAATGAATTTCAGCGGTTTCTGGATTGTTGCCATCATTTATCCGGATATCCGAATAAGCGCCATTGCTTGTCATTTTCATCATTCTGCGATGATCCGCGCGTCGTGCTTGACGCGACAGAGCGACCAGCGCTTGCTTGTAAGACTTCTAGACACCTACCTCGTGACGGTTTTATATCGCAGCGTAGGCTAGCGCGGTTGTTGGCCACGGCAAGGCTGTCCAACGGGTGCTAAAGAAGGTTGGGATCCGCGTTGTTATCGTGACCTATTTTACGCAAAAAGTATCGTAGGGCCTCGTCATCCTCGCCAACACCAAGCCGACTGCGTCGGGGACCGTGCTTGAAGCAGCGTTTTGCTTGCAGTACACCTTGTTCGTTGCGGGCGGCTCATCCAAGCTTATCCGATATCTTATAGCTTCGAGGTTGACGGCTCTGTGATTTTTGCTGTCGTCGTGCACCGCCAGTACGCAGCGTCCCTCGCGCACAAGTACTTGTACGAGCTGCGTGAAGCCTTTTACGCATATCAAATGACGCCGCTCGGACACATGTGCCTCTTCGTACGCAAGGTTCGTCGTGTTGATACAGATGAGTGTTGTAGGACTGGGACGGCGTTGACACCGCTAGCGTGCGCGGCTTTTGGTGAAGTGATAGCGCCGATCGATGAGTCTTGCTGAGTTTTATTGCTGTTAGAGCCCGAAATGCACCGACTCCACGCAAGATACGATGAGAACCTGGTGCTGCACTCGGATGTACTCTTGGATTTGCACCTGACGCTGCATTTACCGGCGATCCGAGAAGCTGCTCGGGCCATCAACGGTACCAGCCGTTTGCGATCATAGCAAGTGACCTGACGAGGGCATCCGCTAGCTGAGATTATCAACCAGCCACTGCTTATACCAGACGACGAGTGGGACGGCGCCAGCGAGCCATCGCACGTGGCCTTGAAGCGTCAGGTAGTATGACTGTCGCTATGACATGCCTGGGACCTTATCGTGCAGGATGTAGCTGCGACGTCATCGTCGTCTCGCTGTGCTTGTCATCGCCGTTCTACTAGCGCTATGGGTTTGGTGTGGACGCTGAGGCCGTGATCCGCACAGTGAAATTTGCGTTTCACGTTTCCAAACAAAAAATGCTTGCTTTTGTGCCAGTGCAACTTGGGTGTCTTTATTCGCATGTCGTTGGTTTGTGACAATCAAGGCGTCGACCAAAGCGACGTGGCAATCAACCGCGTTTCGCAATCTCGATGGCCTCTTGGGACACTGCTACGGCCATATTGCATCTTCCTCTCTCACACTGCCACGTCATTCGCCGTCCACGCCCTCGCGCCAATGCTGTGCATTTCGTTGCACATCACTACCATCATTCTCGACAGAGGTATCTCTGTGGCGCAGTCTGGACTGTACTTTACAACTGGCATGGCATTCCGCGACCGTCGCTTGCTGGTGCGTCCATTCTGTGATCTCGTGGACGATAACTGCCGTTGGCGGCAGGTGAGCGCGACCGCACCCGACACCACCAACACAACCCGTGTCAAGTCGCTCGTACATTGCCCCGTTTTGCTGTCGATGCAAGCCTCCAACGACTCGCCTTGTAGGCACTGTACAGCTGCGCGGCATGGGCCCAAAACGATGCCATAAGCTGCAACCGAGTCGACGGCATCCAGTATGGTTCTTGAGCTATTGCATCACCACTCAGCGGCGAACATGGTAGCCACGTGATCAAGCACGGAGTGCGCTTTGTCGCGGTGGCGACACCAGCCCCGATCGCGCGCACGAGTCTTCTGGAGCTCGTCAGCGCCTTTGACGCGTACGTGACGTCGGCGTCCGGACGCATGTACGACTCGAACGCGCTTCTTACGTCGTTTCGACACTTGTCCCTACGACGTAGGGCGGGACGGGCACCAACCCTTTATGCGTGCGCAGCGTTTGGTATGCTCTGCGAAACAGGGTCAGCGTAACGTCGCTGGTTTAGAGCGCGAGATGCACCGAGTGCTCGCAAAGTACACGGGGACCATGGCCGAGTATGACGTCGTGCTCCACGAGATGTGGGGCCATCGCGCCTTTCGTCACAACCTCGTCGAGGTGGTCGGTCCGATGCTGTTGCGTACGCCGATCTGCTTTGCGGCATGCTTGCTCATCGTCTTGCAGGATTAGATGCCGACGCATTGCAGCGTCGATTCCCGCACGTCCAAATCGCACTGTTGGACATGGAGCCCGCAGGACTTCGTGCACAGTGGAGAGCGTCCTTTACGCGGCGGGTAGGCCCTGCACGCGGCGTGTACGTTGCCAAACCGGTTGATGCTAGCGCGTCCACCAACGTCGCTACGTCGTTCTTTGTCTGCTGGTCGCGTGCATCGGCGCGATCGGGTTCGCATTGTCGTAACCTCGCACACGACAGTTTGTCGATGCTGCTCTGTCCTTTTCCATAATATCGGGCAAATAAAATCGTATACTAGTACGTTGTACATTCTGTCCTCGGGTTCATCTGTAGAGCGTCCAGTTGACAGAAACTTTTTGTCGACGAGCAAAAACCCAAAGCAAATGACACTGCACACCGCTCCGGCCCCTTGTTGGACCCACCGGCGCGTCTATGCAGGGGACCATATATCAAAGCCGAGACTGTCGACTTGCGGAGGCGGCAAACTGGCGCCTGATGCCACCGACTCGATTCGTCACATTCAACACGGAGCGATCGAGTCATCCCTGTGGAATCAGGTGTCTTCTCTGTTGCTCTATCTCTCACACTCTCGGACAGGGTTGTCCAGAGATACGACGGATCTTGTTACGAAGGCCCATCGAGCTCGCTGCGACTATGTTCGAGCTGGCGCCAAATATACTATATGCAGCGTTGTGTATCTACTGTAAACAGCCAAAACGTTTCAGCTCGAAAGGCCGCACCGCGTCGGTGACCCATGGACATTGCCGACATCCTCTCCAAGTACAAACGATCATCGGCGGCGTCCAATGATGCACCGAGCTCGTCGCTGCCGCCGATCGAAAGCGGTTTTCTGCACCCAGTGATGCCAACGCCACCCAAAGGCCACAAGCCCCGGACGCCGTCCAAGCGCGCAAGTCTCATTCAGCAGCCCCTGTACTTTCTAAAGCCGCAGGAGAAGGCGCGCCCCGACCACCGCAAGTGCGACGCGATTCGCTTACCATTTCCCATGCTCACACAACGTGTAGTAGCTACCGGGACATGGGTCTCCTGTCGGCCGCAGACTTTGCACGGGGCGACTGCGCCGCGCCCAACATCGAGTGTTGGCCCCTCGGCACGCGCGTACACAAGGAAGAGGTCGGTTGCCATCACACTACGTATGGCTACGATGGGCCATGTTTGTCAAACCAAGCGCTTATTTGATGTACTCTTGGTAGGACGCGCTTGGCAACAACCGCAAGGGCATGCGACCCGAGAGGACACCGGCGAAACCGCTGCTTTTGCAGCAACTGGAGGCCTTTCTGGCGGCCGAGCTGAGCATTGTGGGCGCCACCGAGCACATGGACCGCGAGGCGGACGACGAAGGCCGCGCGCAGATGCACTTGGCGCGGCTGCAAGTGTTTCGAGAGTGTTTTCTTCTTTTGATTGAAGACTTTAAAACATACCAGCCGCTATTGCTCCGCATCAAAGCCGAGTACGAAGCCCTCTTGGACATTTACACGCTCAAGGTACGCCCTTCACTATTTGCTAAACAAGCGGGCGAGTCCAACGTAAGGTGAGCAAAATTCCGCAATACGAAGCTACGATTCGAACGATGGAGCAAGAAGCCCAGCACGTGATTAGCGAGCGCAACCTCATCAACAAGATGAAAGGTAGTTATTGCATGGATTAATGGAAATTACGGGGTATGTGCATCTAGTCAAGGCACTCAAGAAGCAACTCAAGTCCACCCAAGCCATGCTGACGGTTCGAACGCCCATTGTAGCAAGCGTTCACCGCATTCTAGTCGTATGCAGCGGCCAATGCGAGTCTCGAAGATGGCCGCACCAAGCTCCAGAGCGATCTGCAGGAGCAAACCAAGCGCGTCGCCGACGTCATGGCCACCAACCAGATGCTCTTGCACTCGATGAAGCGTCAGGACGAGCGCCAAAAGCAACACGACTCACAGGTAGATCCGCATCGAAATGACAATATCTTCCACATAAGTCTAGTTGAGCGAACTCCACGGCGTGTTGCAAGGCGTGACGACCAAGTACACGCGCGCACAAGAAGAAATCAACGAGCTCCGAAGCTCCATCTTGATGCTGGAAGAGCGTGCCGGTGGCATTGATGCCAGCGCCGACAAGGCGACGATCAATCACTTGACGCGCGAGCTCCAAGAGCTCCTGCACGCGAAAACGACGTTGGAAAAACAGGTGTTTTTTCTTTTTGAAATTACATGCAATTCAAGCGCGTTGTAGGTGGCGAACCCTGTACCACTTGCCGAGTCGGACGTCCTCTCCCGCATCCTCGCTGGCATGACAGCACAAAGTGTTTCCGCTACCGACATGTTTGTTTCGGGCGCCCCGACGACGGTCGATGGCTTTGTCAACGGTACAGCACCAATGAGGGCTAGGGGTATCATGCGGGGTAGGGCTGTGCACGTACCTCTTGCGCACGCCGCCGGTGCCGCCAGCAACAACCACAACTGTCGCGTCGTCCGTGTTTGTGACGCAGACGCACCATGACGAGCCTGACGAGCAGGCACCGACAGTGACAGACAGCGGCGAGTTCTTCATTGGGCAGGGCCTCGACGCGTCGGTGCCCGAGTACCTGCAATTTGACGGGCGTGTCCGCAACCTCTTTTACTCGCGACGAGACGTCGAGCGCTGGATCACGTACGTGATATTGTATTCGTGTTTGGGTTTACGAGGTGGCTTTTAGAGACATTTGGCAGCAAAAGGATATTTCCGAAAAGCTCAACTTGCACAACAACGCGCTCGGGCCTGGCCGCAAGCGCGGGATGCCGATCCCGGGGGGGCACCATGCGAGCTTTCTCATGACGCAGGCACCCGCGACATTGGTGCCACTGCGACAGTTTTTTGCATCGTATTTGGCCAAGAAATTTCCGCACCGCGCCGACGCGGTCGAATGTACCATTTTGTCATTCGATAGGTCGACATATGAATATGTATCTGGATATTGTACTGTAGGCGCGTACAACATTTGTGAAGCGCTCAAGCAGTACAGCTATGGGTGCGAGTGCCGCGTCTTTGACATGACGCTGCACGGCGCGGTGCCCGAGACCGCGCGCTTGGACCAGCTCCAAGGTACAACTGGATGTCTCTCTTTTTATAAAAATGCAAATGACATGTTGTACATCCTAGTTGTCTACATGGTCCACGAAGCCTACACGACGCTCGAGAAGAATGAATCTGAAAATATCGTCGCCAACAAACGCAAGGGGTATGTATTTCGATGTCGACTACTAGTCGACAATATTGTAGTCACTTCACGAGAGGAATATATGTCTAGTCTCGTCTCGGTCGGCGGCGCGATGCGGGAATTGCGCATCCTCTTTCCGTGGAAAACCGAAGCTGCGATCGCAGCGTTGTGCAAAGCCCTTCTTTTCGAAGCCAAGGTCGCGGACAAGGCTCGGTGGTTTTTAGTGGCATGTATTTTTGCGTAGGGCGTTCTCTACATCCCGTACACTGCGCTGCTCGAGCCCGACCGCCACGGGAATCTCTCGTCGTTTTGCGAGTGTCTTCGGCACCAGCATCTTGACGAGATTTTGCACCTCAAGAAATTACTACTGGTACAGAGTTCGATCCTCGCTCGTCTCTTCTTTTTTTAATTGATTGTGCAGACGGCCGTGCACGTTGCTGAGAAGCAAGCCGGACCCGACAGCAAGGGCATGCTGAGCTTGGACACGTTGCGACACGCCATCAAGTCGTGCGACCCAGAGAGGACAATGGCGGCCACGAATGCGATTTTGGCCGAGTGCACCAACATCCCGCTCGAGCGACTCGAGAACGAAGGTGCGACGCTCGTAAGTGGCGCCAGCGTCCGGAGCAAGCTCGAGGGTATCCTCGTCAAGCCATCGGGGCGGCTGCCTCCCACCGACACGATGTAACCCTAATCGCTATCGTCAGCGGACGCGAGCAGAGACGAGGTGGCTTGCGCAATCGTGTCATGGCTATGTGGATACAAGTGAGTCTTTACGTAGAGTACGACTACGCTATCATACTAGCGAGAATGATATCGCAACCACCACTCCGTCCCACGTCCCGTTGTTGTGGACTCACTACAGTACCAAGGATACGCCCGGATAGCATTTGAATGGTTCTCGCGAAATGGATAGTTCGAGTTTGGATTCTTTTAGAAAAAAACAGCTTTGGATTCGTGTCGGGTATTCAGGGCATAGCATTATTTCCTGTTCACTGTCTCAAAGTGAAGTTGCACTGGATTTTCGACTCGACAGGTATACAACCCACGGATTTTACGCCCTTGGTACCGTATAAATCGGTCGCCTCCGTGATTTCTTGCTGCCAATGTTGACTCGTCGGCGCGTCAACCATGCCGGCGTGCTTTCTCGTGTTACTACACTTAAGAGATAAGTGTAGCTCACTACGTTTAGTAGAGGACTACGCGCGAACGTGCTTTGGTCAGCCCATCCTCCTCAGCGATGCCCCGCAAGCGATCAACGCCGGCGCGCTGGGAACGGGTGGTGCGTTGGGTGCGGTTTCAAGCGCACTTCGGCCGAGACGCTGTCTTGAAGAGTGGGACCTTTTCCTGGATTCATGAACTCGAGGACTCGCATCGATCCTCGCCAGCGGCATTTTTGCATTTGCCAAGTGGCGATGGCGAGCTTGTTGCTACCACCGTCTTTCACCGCCGCGTCAACCGTGACCTACTGTGTCCGCGGCCACACGTTTCGCACCATGTACACGGTCGAGCTGCACTGCGCCGCCACGGCACGTACTTGGAAGTTTACGACCCGGTACCGCGACTGCGTGGCTTTTCAGAGCGCGCTGGACGCGTACTTGCCGTCGTTCCTCGGGTCCCGTCGCGCGGCCGAGCACTATTTGCTGCTGCTGGTTCAATTCCAGTTTCCAGTCGAGCCGCTACCGAGTCCTGCTGCACGCTTGGCGATGCGCGCCGAGCTCGTGTCGGCATTTGCGCACCTTGCCCACGCGGTGCTCACCGCGCTGACGACGCTGGACCCG